TTTGAAGAATAAAATGGAGTTTACGGCCTAAGCACAAGCCTTGGCCGTAAACTCCCCAAAAGTCCTAAATGATGGTTTAAACCCTCCAAATTAGTTCAAGACACTTGCTAGGAAATTAGGGAAGTGATTAAAGGCCTTAACTTGCAATTTTGGAGGACCACATGAGTTTACGGCCGTAAACTCCCAAGGAGTGGCCTTTGGGCCGTAAACTCCAAGGGAGTGAACTCATGGACTTCCCCGTAAACCCCTCTTGGCCTTGTACCACTCCCGGAAACCCCTTCTAGCCCTAAAACCCCGAATTGATCTAGAATGCCTAAATACTTAAATGGAAAGCATAAAATGATAATTTCTTGTAAAATACATATTTCATATGACATTAGGGTCCTAAAAGGTGCACAAGTCGTTATTTGGAACAAAACGCTCAACCGACACTTTTACCCGATTCACCCGATTTACGCGAATTCAGGTGAGTTCATACCCCTTTAATGAACCTTTCAAATGTTTTATATGTTTTAGGGGGGGGGGGGGATACAAGTTGATTATACATGTTTGGGAAAAGTTATACAAGACAATTATTCATGTTACAGAATTAATCACATGTGATTCACTACCCGTAGTTCAAATCACATGTGATTTATCACTATGCCTTATAAATAAATTATTTGTTTTCAAAACTATTTTGGATAAACAAACAAGTTTTTAAATGTTTTCTTTTGTACAATACTTTTATTTTAATAAATCTTCTTATAAAATGTAACCACACTGATATATTTATATAAGTAAGACTTGAAGGACTTAGGACCGATAGCTCGCCTTATTTCCTGTTCTTGTTTGATTGTGGGCTTAGGGTAGTGGTTATCCGTCCGACTGTCGTTGATTTCTTAGTTATATATCTTGTATATTAGTACGGATTACGAGTATTTCTTATTTCATTAGATGCCTAAATCACTAACCTGACCAGAATCATACACACTAAGTTAACTATAATAGGTATAGTTAAGGCCTCTATTACTCGTTTTAACTACTACTCTACACCACTATACTTATCTCTATTATTGAACTATACACTAATAAGAGAATACAATACGAGTTATACAAAAGACTACTACACTATAATACAAGAGAAAGTACTAATCATGAGATAACTCATTAACCCACTACGAGATACTCTATTCGCTACGCACTACGCCCGAAGTATTCCGATAGGAAGACGACACTATATGTATAGATCTATACGGGGCAGACGCTATTACATCCCGACTGTTAACTTCAGTCCGAGCCGCACAGGTCCAAGGATGCCTCTACTCCACTACATTGTGCATGACCGGGAAAGTCATGGGGTCCGCTATTACTCACACTATTGGTAACATACAAGAAATACACTATAACCACACTAAAATACTAAACTAAAGGTAAAGTTAATATCCCGAAGTAAACAAGTATCTAATACTAAAGGAAGTTGCACCACTATTATTGACTTCAGTTATAACTTACCACATTGCATTACTTACTGGTGAGTCACTATTATACTTTCATGATAAATGGTTTTCAAAGGTGAAAATGACACATTTCTTAAAGGTTTTCACTTACTATACATTTCTGGAAAATATAGGATTTTCTAGGTTTTACTACTACTTATGACTGTGACTTTCAACTTTTCATAC